TTTTTGAATCATACCAAAATTCATATCTTTTAATTCATATTTTGGTGTGAATTATGGTCTGACTATCCTATTTATGGCGTATCTGCTCTAGGAGCACAAATCAGGTATATATCTGATCAAGGACCACATACAAAAATGATCAAGATCTGATTTGAAAAGATCAGATTTGCGTGTCCACACTGGTCTAAAGAAATCAGATCTGTGTCACATTAAGAGAAATCTTGAATTTGTGCCACTTCAGCCTGGAAATGTGAACATAGTCAGTAAATCTGTTTTAGACGCGAGTCTCCACATTAACAAGTGACCAAACAACTGACCAATTTTGATTTGTATGGTCAGACTCAGGTCATACGGGTCACATTTACTTGTTTATCTATGTTGGTTACTATAGCAACAACAGTTGTTTGTATGCTGAAAGGAAGGAGCCAGTGTGATTTTCTTGTTGCACATTCTGACGCCAAGAAGCGCCGCACAGTAAAGAAAAAACACCTGAAATCCGATCTGACACGTCAGAATTCAAACTGAGTTACCTGTCCAGAGATCCAATCTGAATCGGATTTGAAACAACATCAAATGTGCTTAAATTGGACTAGAAAATGTTGGCTTTCATGCAGCTTTTGTGCTGCTCATGTTGTGGAAAGTCTTTGCTAGTCAAATCGGATATTCTGAAAGATCAGATCTTACCTGCTGATTGTGAAGAGAAGTGAATGTAACTGCATGGAAGTCAGTTTAAAAATAAGGCAGGTGAGCTTGTCTGGGGAACCTTGATGAAGCAGTCAGAGATATAAAGAGTGAAGGAGAGAGAGAGAGAGAGAGAGAGAGAGAGACAGAGACAGGGAGAAGGTGAAGAATCCCCCTCGTGCCCACAGGCCTGCGTAGTGTGAGAGATGCACGTAGGTGCAGATGTTAAAAATGGAGCGAGAGTGGGAAAGACGTGGAGAGTGGTAGTGTGAGGGAAGAGAAAAAAGAACGTGCGAGTGTGATGAGAGGCCTGTCGGAGGTGTGTGAGAATGCCAGAGGCGGCGATCGCTGTCACAGAGTGTGTGTGTGTGAAAGTGTGATGGTGTGTGTGGGACGGAGTGTGTATGGGAGAGACGGAGATAATGAGAGAAATAGAGTGAGACCTCCACTCTGCTCCTTCTCCACCCTCACACCTGCGTGTCGTCTCGTCTCCTGGTTACAGCGCTCCAGAAAAACCAGCGCAGCCGCAGATAAGTAGTAAAATAATAAATAATACTGAAATATCCACATTTGAAATTAAGCTTTCCTTTTACTCCAAATGCAGTCATTTGGCTGAGACAGTGTCGGAGCTTTGCTTCTTTATTTTTTTGTTTCTTTATTATTGCTGAAATGTTCATCTTTGGTGGTTCAGGAGACTTAATAGTGTTTCCTTATGAGGAATATAGCATTAGACAAGAAAGAGAGATGACATACAGGAGAGATAGAGGAGAGAAAAAGGAGAGATCAGAGTTTAGTTGCAGATAAAGATGAACGTTGTTTTCTTGGCATCAATCTGTGTGACCTTATTGAGATCTGTACTAAAACTCCAGAGGAGACACACCTGAGTTTACTGGGGTCGTTTGCTGAAGAGAAACGTCTGAGCAGCAGGAAACTTCTTTGTCTGTCTCACTGAGTCGTTGCTGTCTGAGAGAAACTACAGAGATACTAAAGAGACCTCGTTTTTATTTTTCTTTCCTATTGGAGCTCCGAGGCTAATCGCAGCTATCTATCAAGTAATGCAGGAGCAGCTAATCTTATCCTCAAAGGGCCGGTTTGGCTTCTGGGTTTCATTCTAACTAAGCAGGAGCACAGCTTACATAACTAATCAATGGTTTGGAGACTGAGACCAACTGATTAAAGAAGCAGAATCAGATGTGCTGCTGCTTTGTTGGAATGAAAATCTGCAGACCTTTGTGGATGATATTGGGCAGCCCTGAATAATGGAAGCTCATAGCCCACCAATTATCTCTGTGCAAACTGCATACCTGAAGTGGCAAAACATGACTATCAGAGTTAAACTCCACTTCAGGCCATAAACAGCAGCACACATGAACTTTCCTAGATCAAACGTGGGCATTGGAAGACTGTAAAAGACATTCCATGTTTTATTTGAAGTTTGTGACAGACGTATTGTAGCGTTTACCGCTATTAAAGAAGGTTCAGGTCATTGTGCTTTATTAAAGGGCTGTATTTGGCCACAGCCACACCGCATGGACGGAGAGTTTTGTTTAACAGTTTGCTCTAAACTTTGCTTTGTCTTTCTTCCTCTGAGATCAGCATTAGACTCTCTCAGTACTTCCTAGCCTAAACAGGACACAGCCACAGCTGGCCCCGCCTTCAGAATAACAGTCCTTATAGAAAAAGCTATATAATAAATGCTGCCGAACAATTACCCACAAATTTACATTATTTTTTTGCATTATTATTGTCCACGTCATCATTTTCAGAACAAAACCTCATATTTTCAAAATGGAGGAGGAGAAGGAAAAACCTATTTTATGGTTTTAAGGCGTAGTTCACTAATGTCAGGGAAATGAAGGTGTAATATAAGTTAATGTAAACTGATTTTATCCTAGGTCATTTTGGACCATATCTACTGGTTATTATTGGCTATTGAAATTTTAACAGGTGCAGCTGGGAACTAGTTTTCAAATTATGAAAAAAGTAAAATGACAAAAATGATGGAGAATTTTACAGGGATTCCTTTAGTAAAGAGCCCTGACACAGTTTTCCGTTTCTAACCACTGACTACAACATACGACCAGGGTTCAATATTAATGATTGCCCAAAAGCCCAGGGTGAATAAAATATTCATTCAGAACAGTGTTGAAAATCACTTGCCCAGTCGGGCCAGTTGATATTGAATTTGATGTGCGGGCGAGTTTGTGGAGCCCAGAGGGTTAAATATGACATTTTAACACACACACATGTATATATATATCATATAGGGTACTTTGGATAGTGAACAACTGTACTTGATGGTGCCTTAATTTGCTTTTATATCCAGTCGCCCCCTCACTGCCACAAAGGTTTAATCCAGTTGTGTTAAGCTGAGTTAAACTTAGCCGGTCAAGGCCTGAATCACTATGTTGGTGAAAATGGAGAATTCTATAAAGCGAGTGAAAACCTTTATTCCCTCACTGAAAAATCTGTTTGGTGGGTAAATATAATAAGTATACATTAGATTCTTACATCAGTTCACATTCTTAAAGAACATTAGACCCTTTCGCACTTTTGGAGCACAGAGCTCATCTAGTACTCCACCTGCACGACTTGCAATTTACCAACAACGGCCACAAAGCCAACGACAGTCGACGAGGTGTTTCGCTTCACTATGATGTAAATGCAGCCCTGTGAAACATCTCTCTGTGATCTGGCCTATATGAGCAAAAAAGACCGCTCCCTCATCTCTGGCGCTGGACACATACAAAACAGTTCTAAATAACAGTACAGAAGAACTCTGAGAGTCTTTTTGCACCAAACAGTAAATGTGCATATTTTTTATATGTATAATAGCAAAAATACCTTTCATTTCAAGGATAAATTAATAGTATATGTGCACATTTATATTTGAAAAACATTTTTTAAAGCAAAGAACTGTTTGAGACAGTATAAACTCTCTTTGTACTTTCAGTTCACAAGCTGAATCCTGTATCTTTCCTGTTCACACTCAGTGACGTGTCTTTGAGAAGACCCAGAGGGATGTTTATTTACATTTACGGCTTTTGGCAGACAGTCTTATCCAGAGTGACTTACAGTGTGATCATTTTACACAGGAAGGTGAAGGTGGTGTTGGGAGTCTTGCCCAAGGACTCTTGGTATAGTGTAGGCTGTTTACCCAGGTGGAGGATTGAACCCCAGTCTACAGTGTAGAAGGCAGAGGTGTTACACACTACACCGTAACAACCATGAATATTCTCACTATGTTAGTGTTTAATCTGACAGTTTATGTCTTCAGTTTAGCTCCTGAAGTCCTAACCGATGGGAGAGCTTGCTTGGCTGTGTTTACCCAGATACAGAGAAAATCCAGAGAAACGGTAAAAAATCCTGAATGGATACTTTTCTGTTGACCATTTCAAGGATTTATCTCTTTTATTTCCAACCAAAACAATGAAATTACTGCAACGCTTGCAGAGCTTAAATACAACAAGTATGATGAAAAATTACAGATGTTTTTTTGCATTTCACAGAGATCATTAGGCCTTCACTGAAGGTCTTTGAAGGTTCCTCATTGCCAAAGTCATGAGACAGCTGCCTCAAAACGTGTTGGGCTGTGAGATAATCTCAAATAATCATGCTTATGAGTGATGAGGTGCATAAAAATGAGCAAACGCACAGACGAAATGTGGTATATTTTGATTAAATCAGGGTATCATGGAGGGTCTCCGAGCTAGCAGACTGTTTTGCTTGGTGATGAGGGGGTGGTGGGAAGAGAAGATGAAACGTGATAATATTGATTAATATTATCTTCCCTGCCCGCTGGTCCACAGTGATGTATTTAAAATCAGAAGTTGTTTTAGAAGCGGGCAAATGTCGTTACGTTTTCGTGGAAGATTATGAGAAAACAAGAAATTGCGTGATATGATGTGATGAATCGTGTTTAGTATGACCAGAGACCTGAGCTAACGAGGTAAAAAGGTCAGTTTAGATTTCAGGTTGGCTTTTTTCATTTCCATTACCTGTTCGATACATTAGCCTCGCAGCTTCAGTGCAAACCTGTGAAAGTGAACTTTGAACACCAGACTGCTCTGAGGTAACGGGACAATTGTGTAAAAGTGATTTTTTTTGACAGGCTCTGCCTGTAACCTTGTTAAACGACACACAGAGGAGCAGACATTACAGGCTGCAGTGGAGACGCACACTGAGATGTACTGCGTGATAGATGAACCAATGATATGCCTGACCAGGATTCCAATCCTCTAGAGGACGTTCACTCACTGGTCAGCCTTGTGTGCCGTTTGTGGCTAATTGTGTGTGTAATTTTGGTCTTTTGTTTGCAGGAAAGGCAAAAGTAAACATGCCCAGTCCAACGGAGGGAGTCACAAGGTGGATACGGTGAGTGCAAATGGTCTTATAATGAAAAAGAACAGGCACATTCTTCTGACACCACTGTTCAGTTTAGTAAAAACATTCGGTGTGGAAGCAGAGGCGGGGGGTCTGGGGTCTGAAGTGAAATGTATAGATGAAATGAAAATATGAAAATTAATACAGTCTCATGCAAAAAAACACCATGGTCAATTTACATGTTTTGTAAATTTCTAAGTGAAATTGAGTTAAAAATGCCCACAGGGACACACTGAAATATGGAATTTAACATATTGGAAAAAAATAAAACAGAAAATATAAAATGTGCCATAACTTTTGCACAGGCCACATTTTGTTATGTTTTATTTTTTCCTCAATATGTTAAATTCAGCAAATTAACAGTAGTTGTGCATTAGAATGTGTAGAAATGTGTTCTTATCACTTAGGCTATGTTCACATTACAAGCCTCGTTGCTCAAATCTGATTTTTGGCTCAAATCCGATCTCTCTGACACGATGGTTCACACTCGTTTAGGTAAGTGACTCAAATCTGTCATTAGTGTGACGAACCGGCGTCCTGAAATGACCCTCATGAGCTCATCCTACTCAGTAACGTCACGTGAATGAATCACGTTCATCATCAGCACAAACTAACGAGCAGAACGAGCTTCGCTGAGAAGATAATTAACTCTGATCAGCTCTCAGCTTCATTATTAGAGCGAGACGAAGGAGAAAAAGGTGAGATGAGCTGCTTTTCCACCGTTTACAGGCTTTAACTTCTGTTCGGCGCTGCTGCCATGGTAACGCTGAATGATGGTCACGCGCAGTGGAGAAAAAGCACATGAATTCCGATCTGAGCGTCACATTAAGGTCGCACAGCCACGAATCGGATATGTATCCGATCTAGGACCACATACGAAAGTGGCTCAGGTCGGATTTGAAAAGATCAGATTTGTGTCCACACAGCTCTGAAAACATCAGATCTGAGTCACATTAGGGCAAAAAATCAGATTTGCTCCACTTCAGCCTGATAATGTGAACGCAGCCTTAGAAAATCAACAAAACATAATGTGCCCAAACTTTTTCATTCTATTGAATCTTCATTGGCAATAAATGTTTTAGATGAAAATGGTGAGTTATAATAGGAATCTTAAGCAATAATAAAGACCTTGAGTTGTCGTTTTAACATTTTAATGACTTTAATCTGAAAGGACAAAGAGAGGAGCAGGCCCAGTTGTGTGGGGGGAGCACAAGCATGCATTGCACCCTCAGTTGAGCTTTGAGGGAAATGCATTTATAGACAGCCTGCCTTGGACCTTAGACCAGCGCTGTGGCAGGCAGTAAACACACAGGACAGCTCTGCTAGTGTTCCAAGAAGACTAAATGAGCTACATAGAGCTTATAAAACTGATACAGCCTGAAACATTTGTATGATCTCTATTGTTAGCCTGGTCCTCTAATGTCAGGGAAATTAATCAAACATAGCAATCGGCTTCCTGTCATGGACATGCACTGACTTTTTAGATGAATAGTATTTAAATATCCAAGAGAACCCTCACCATTATATTGTGTTATTCATGTGAAGCACCTCTCTCTCATAGCATCCCTGGTGCTTTTTTGCTGCCGGTGATCTCCACAAATGAATAATTAAAGTGTGGGATATTCCAGTAAATTACATTTTACATTTTAATTTGTAAGAAATCATGAAGAAATGCCAGCCATGCATTTGCTTTATATGTTTTAATAACCATGCGCTGTCCTAGTGTGTAATTAGTACAGTTTTCGAAGAGGGATTAATTTTTTCATTTTATTTTGATAGAATATCCCCCTCTGTGTTGGGTTAGATACTCAAGAACTGCAATACAAATTACCAAATACTTCTTGCAAAATGTAATTGGATTACTTTACTTATAAGCTAAAAAGGAATCTCACCTCTCATTACGTTACTTATACATTAGTACAATGGAAAACTCAGTAGTTTGTGGTTAGCAAGACAGAAGTAACCACCATGTAATATCATTTAAAAAGCATTTCACTGTCCCTGCTTTTGAAATAGACACAGCCAGTTATGCTTGATTAGAATTCTGAATGGCTAAAGCTGTTTAAAAACTAGCCAGTAGAAACAGTCCAAAAACAGCTGCTGTCTCAAAATAAAATCTTTAAGAATGAGAAGTAAAGTTTACGTAGCTGTTCATGGACACACATCTAACCCGGTCTCTTTGGGTGAGTTAGAGGTTCTGTATTCTTCAGCAATGGGATCGTCAGTCAGGACTCACAAGAGCTTATTACACACAAGGACAGGCACAGATAATATATGTAGAGGAAATTCATGTTTTATATGCATTGTGTATAATTAATATTACTCTGTTAGAAGATGTAACAACCTTCCTATTAGGTCACTGACTGTAATGTGATTATAAGAATTTAAACTGCAGTGTGTTACATTACTGCTTCATCATATCACGTTACTTTGTACCACATCAGCCCCAACTCTGATCACCCTGCATCTCATTTCATTCACACACACACACACACACACACACACACTCAGGGGGTGTTCCACCAAATTCTCTAAAATGATTGAAAAGACTGCGAGTAAACAAAGTCATCCAGAGTGGTTTGATGAGAAGTAGATCACTGTATCAACAAGTCAAGGTTTTTTTGAGTTGGTGGTGACGGGAACCAGAGGTATACAATGCAATGTATACAATGCAAATATAGCCATTTTATTTACTATCCAAAATTGTGTTTAAGGGCATTAAACGCCTCTGATGTCTGTAAAGTGAAATAGTGGTAAATCTGAAAAAATACGTTTTCTTTCAGCACTATTTCGCCTTACAATGTCCTGAATGAATCTATGTGCCATGGACGTATTTTTAAAAAAGTATGTTTTAGGCCAAAACCTGCTCAAAACTACCATAAAACAATGTCTCAACAACGAGGCAGTAACCATTTTGTATGACAACTCATGCTTTTAAAGGCATCGAACACTTCAGACATCTGGTTCTTATCACCACCACTGAGCACAGTTCTCGGCAAGTCTCTCCAAAATGGGGCATTTCACTACAAACCGCTCTGAATGACTGAACTGTTTTCATGCTAACAGCTGAATTATGATGAAATGTAGAAAGATCAGTGGGATTCCTCTGGTAAAGGCTTGGCGTGTGTTTCAGGGAGTTCTCCGGCAGTCCAAGCTGAACTCCATGAGCAAGTCGGACACCCGCCTGCACGAAATGCACCGAGTGCCCTGCAACGCTAATGGTGAGTGCAGTGTCAATGAGAGAGAGAGAGAGAGAGAGAGAGAGAGAGGAACTCCAGCTTTAAGTCCAGCTAATTTAACCGCACACACTGCTGGCCGCACACACAGGCACGCAAACACATTCATTAAAACACACATTCACACAGGCTCTCTCGTGTGCGTGCTGAGGCCGATGTCTCCAGCGTCCTGTCAGCATTGGTGGATTTCTGGTTCAGTGCTCAGCTGCCGCCAGTGTGTGGTAGACTGAGCTAAAAGCAAAGCTACAGCATCGTTCTTGTGAGCCAGTCTGACAGAGTCTGCTTGAACACAGTGCACCCCCCCACCCACCCACAGACACCCTCGGCAGTAATAATGTGGAGGATAGGAGAATCTAGAGAAACACAGTCTAATCCATGTTTATCAGTTCGTCTCGTACTCTTACAGCACTTATTACTCTCACTGGATGCAGATGCAATATTCCTGTGCACTGATAACCAGAACACCGCCCTGTATCTGTGGGTATAGTGTCTCCAAACCAGATTACAGTTTAGATTATGTGCAGATTAAGGACTATGTGCATTATATGATGAAATTGGATGACATACTGTAGCTTAGCTGTGCCCCCTTGTGTTTGCCTGCAGCAACTGCAGATAAAGTATCATATTATGCTGGTGCATTGACCCTACCTACACTTATTCAGTCTGGCCTTCTGTTATTGATTATGTTTAATCTGAATATACATTCACTGGCCACTTTATTAGAAACACCTCATTTGCAGGGTGTAGCGCAGAGTTTGTGTTAGCCATCTAGCCCTAGTGAGTGACTGAGGTGTATAAGAGCTCCAGCAATGCCACTGTGTCTGACACACCTGTACAAGCACCACACACACTACCACACCACGACCATGTCAGTGTCAGTGCTAAGAACAGTCCACCGCTGACCTGTTGTTAGAAAATGGCCAATGATGAATGATCCAATCCTGTAACAACTCTAGCCTGAAACAGAGCACACTCGCACTGTGATGATGTGATTGTTAGCTGTGTATTTCTTCCTGTGGGACAGTAGAGTGATTGAGTAGTTTGAGCTACTTGTAGATGCTCACAATGAAGCACTTTATTTAAAAATAGCTCTTTTTAAAGTTTAGTTGTTTTTAAAAAAGTAAAATCAAACCAGCATCAGTGTCAGCCGATACTCAAGGTTGTGCTGAACTGTAGCTTGTGATCTGTTGTCATGTGTGACCTGGTATATTGTGCACCTGTATAGTGGATCCATAAGGCAGCTGAACCACTGAAATTGTACAGTGAATAAACGTAAAAAAGTAGATGTTCTCAATGAAGTGCGTGCTGTTTACAATAAAGGGAAACTCCACTGATTTTTCAAAATGCATAAATACATGGTTGAGATGCAAACAAAGTCATTTAGCATGGCTTAATGTCGAATGCTTTGTTCTAAAGAAACTTTAGTCAGAATTCTTCACAGTGGTGGTGATAGGAACCAAACGTCTACCTTTAAAAGCTCCCTCACAGAAAGTTACTACATTGTAAAACAATTAAGGTTTAACTTAAAAAGTTAGTGAGGTTTTTGAATATTAAATAATAAGTTGACAGGGCATAAAACACGAATTCTTGCTCCATTAACTTACTGTTCGAAATTCAGTTAACTCAAAATTTGAAGGCAGCCCAAACACTAACTTTTTAAAATCAAAACAATATTTTTTGTGAAGTGTATATGAAATGGTTGCGAATTTGCTGCCTGATATGTGAGATGTTTTATGGTAGAGAAAAATATTTTTAAAAGTCCATTTATGGTGGAAAGATTAATGCAAGACATTGAAAGGCAAAATAGATCCCAAAGAAAATGTATTTTTCCAGATTTACTGCTCCACTCAGAGGACACTTGGAGGATCAGTGGCCTCTGATAAATGATAAATAAAATGGCTGTATTTGTGTTGTAAACATTGTGACCTCTGGTTCCTATCACCACCACTGTAAAGAAATCCAAGTTGGTAAATTTTCTACAATTTCACTTTACAGCTCTGAATTATGCAGAAATTTTGAAAGATCAGTGGAATTGCCCTGCAGCTGTTTAGAATTCTGATTCTTTTCAGCAATAGAATACAGAGGGAGTGTGTTATCACCAATAACATCACGGCTGTGATTTGGTCGCCGTAGATCATCACAGCCGTGATGTTATTGGCGATAACACACTCCTCGAGTGTTCTACTGCTTTAATACAACAGTTAAATAAATACAGTAATAAATTAATAAACTGGGCTGTGAACGCGGCGTTTAATATGTTTTAATGTTCGCAGTTCCTTCACCAAATTATAGTTCCTTAACGAGCAGCTTGTTGCTACGTCAGAGTAACAAGCTCCGCCCACTCGCTGCACAGCCGGCAGTTCGTTCTCCAGCTCCACACAGACCAACTGACAGTTTGGGAATTTAGTGTCGTTTCATCTTCAGAGTCTGACCAAATCGGCTGTCGCTCAAATGTGATCTTAAGTGTCCATTTTCTGTTTGTGGCAAAGTAAGAAGTAAAAACGTTCAAATGTCTTGAGCGTCTCCCACAGCTGTCAGAGTTGTTGCTTAGCAACGGCGTCTCAGCAGAGTGATGTTATCGTGAAAACCTGTGATGTTATGGTGAAATAACAGCACAGTTACATTAGCAATCTTTGTTGTTGGTGTTATAGGAGCCCCCAAGAATCGTCCAGCCAGCATGGACCTGCTGCTCCTGCACAGCCGCCGCTCGACCTCTGACCTCCGTCCTCCGAGCTCGGGCCGGCAGCTACCGCGCATCCCCACCAGCCCTGAGGGGGAGGAGCGGGAGCACACATACTCAGAGGTGGGCCGCCGCTCCTCTCCGACACCCCGTTGCCTGGACGACGGCCTGTATGAGAGCGTAGGCGTGAAAAGACCACCTCCAGACCCGTCTGCCTCATCCCTGGCTCCGCCCCCAACTTCAGCTAACGCTTCGGCGCAGGGCCACACCCACAGCCCGTCCACCAACGGGGACGGCCGCGGAGGAGGAGGGAGGGCAGGACCAAACGAGGCAATGCAGGAGGCGGTGACGGCCGAGTACGCCACCATCAGGAAGGTGAGGAAGCTGGACAGAGGACGAAGGGTGAACGGATCGGAGGAGGGCGAGAGCGTGTCTAGTACGGAGTCGTCCACTGGGAACCTGCACCGGAAAACAGTGGAACCATTCCACATGCCCAACTTCCCCAAGGTAAACACACATGTCCGAAACTCCAGTCACTATATGGACCAAAGTAGTTTAAACTACAACAAACGATTAAAAATAACAATTAAGTTTTCAGATCTTAGATATATACAAGGACCATGTTATGATCGATTTAAACCCAAGGCAATAACTGTGATAGAATTAAGCTAAATATATACAACACCATCATTCTTAGGGTTCTTCCTATTGGGAGGTGTCTGTCACAAACCCTATCCCCTAAATTTCAGCTTGTGAAAATAATAAAATATAATACATTTTTTTGATTTCCTTTTTTGATTTCTTTTTAAGTGAAAGATTTAGATTAGTCAGGTTTTGAGTTTAATTTTTTAAATTAGAAAAATTGGTCTCACTTTATTTGGATAGTCCACTACAGTCCCCTATAGATTCTCTACAGATGTTCAGTTTTTAACAAACTATCTGTTGAAACTCAAAACTTGATTCTGTGGTGGGGTCAGGATTTGGACCAGGGTGGGGGTTGGGTTTAGGTTTGGGCTGAGGTTAAGGTTACGGTTAGGATTAGAGCAGGTTTAGAGTTAATTATTAGTTATTAATTGAGTAGATATTTAGTTGAGTATAAGTTGAAAGTAAATTAAGTATCTACAAAGCGTCTAAAATGGACGATCCAAATACACTGTTACCAAAACTTTATTTGAAAAATGTTGTCCCACATTTTCATGTCACTACTGGAACACAAAGAGTTTTAGTCCGTAGGTGGAGCATTTCAAAGCAGGAAATGAGGCTGAGTCCCTGTCTCTCGTGCCACATGGTGAGCAGATAGATGCTGTTATTCTGAAGTAAATTTGTCCCAAAGTCAGAAAATCAGTGCATATCATTAAGGATTGTCACTACCGAAACGCATATTTTCTGCAATTAAGTAAACAGTTTTAATAAAAGCTATTATAATTTTATGCGTTCAACACTGTTCAAGGTTTCAAGCTGTTCTGGATAGCAAATTTGAGTTACGCTTTAAATTATTTGAACTTGTCACAACTGTTAAAGTCATTGGTTTTAATAAAATAAACATAATTAAGCAAAAATAAAAGCAAAATAATTTTAGTCTAAATTCAAAGTCAGTTAAATGTCAGAAATGTGTTTTGAACTCTGGACAAATTCAGTAAAATGATCTATATTGAAAACATAGTGGAGAATATCCAGTGCAGACTAGCCAACCACAGTGCACTACAGTAGGTGGTGTACAAACCGTGAAATATTTTACCTAAAGCTTTTTCAGTTGAACAGAAGTAGCGTTACTGAGTCAGGAGAAAAACATGCTAAATTATGGTGCACATATGCTGCTGCGAGTCACCCTGTAAAGCCTGAAATAATCATGTAAAGCTCAGAGGTGTCAGGTCGGATTTCATGGTACTACATCATACGTCTTCACGTATTAACATCACGCGCAGGATCCAAAACAGGGTCTGGCTCGATGTTTAGGTCTCAAATGCAACATCAGTATTATACTGATGAAAATGGCAATAGTAGATAATTTACTCACATCCTCAGACGACGCGTCCTTCACCAAGTTCTGACTGAGTTCTCGTTCATTCGTCTCTTAACATCATCAGATTCATCCATATGAGTGAGATGATAAGGGTTACCAACTGATGTTACAGAACGTTCTTCTGCACATTATATGCAATTACACATTTCCACCAGAGAGGTCTCCAAATCCCCAAACCTTACATAGTGTAGCTTTAAATAATGAATTTATTTCCCTTTAATAGTGTTATATACAGTATTCCTGTTTTTTCAGTGTATTGGAGTTGTGACTAAGGGACCTTTCTGAAGACACAGATCGAGTGACGACTTGGACTTTAGACTAAAATTCTTTCGCTTTGAGTCTCCCAATACCTTAATTATGTTTATTATATTAAACCTAATGACTTTAACAAATGTTTCCGATGTGACAAGTTTAACTAATTTTCAGCATAACTCAAAAATGCTACCTAGTACATGACGTAAACAGCTTTGAACACAGAATCAGTACATTTTCTATTGAAACAGTTCTATTTAATTGCAGAAAATATGTGTTTTGGTAGTGACAATTCTTAATGATACGCACTGATTTTCAGACTTTGGGATACATTTACTTTAAAACAATGCGATCTAACTGCTCACCATGTGGCCATGAGGGACAGGGATGGAGTCTTTACTTTTAGGCCTCAGGATTATGGTGATAATATTTCTATGGTTATGATTGTGAATATAGAACTAAAAATTTCCCAAATTCTGTAACAGTAATCTGCCCTCCGTTTGGCAGAGTATCAAGAACATATGAATCCATGTACGAAAGACTCCTGTCTCCTCTAATCCTGTGCTTACTTGTCATTTGGACCCTTCTGCATCCTTAACGTGCAGTTAGATATCTTCACCACTAGAGTGCAGTGTATTATATGTAAAAATTCTTTCCCTGTGTTAGAAGCATCCAAGTGTCTGGGTGCTTTTGAAAAATGGGAAATACCAATTTTCCCACTTGTAAATTTCACATGAATAGCTGGTGAAGCTGTATCACCATTTAACCCAGTGAAAGATGGTTAACCCTGCAGTGAATGTGAGAAATATGCCTAATATTCTTCTCTATGATCTATCTTTGTTTATTTATTATGTTCTCTATCACCCTATAGAGTGAACTAACCATCTAGTCTGCATGACCTTTTGCACCTGAATGCAGCATCAGAGCAGGACCTATTAGATTACATATAGATTAGGGATAGATTAGATTAGATGTGTTAGGTAGATTAGATTAGAGATGTTGAAGAAGATTATTCTGTCTCTTTCATGCTCATGTGAGACTTTGCTGTCTAACAGCAGGTGCACGTTTAGTCTGATTAGTGTGGGGAGGCTATAGCCTACATACAGCAATGTAAACATTAAACTAGGAGAACAAAATACGACTACAGTTACAGTTACTATATTATCATAACAGCTGATGCTCCATATGTTTATATTATTAACAGGAATAACACACATTTTTCACACTTTAAAAAGGGTTTTGCCATAAAATAAAAACACAGAGACTGCAATAACACAAAAAAGCCAAAAGTTTATTTCTGCTATGATCCCTGTTCACATTCAGTTTTATAGCCTATTACAGTGGCAGTTTTCTTTCTGTTGTATGTAACTGAAGTTCTTGAATGTCTGATCTGCACGTAGATACAAATGTGTTAATGTATAAATAATAATGAACATGATAATAACTAAGCAGAAAAAGGAAAGTCTGGGGTAGCAGTTTTTAAAAAAAAATCTTTTTGTTTTGCTGTAACTGCATATAAGAACATTTAGTACAGAACACACAGTTAACTATGAAAAAGCATTCTATTCTGTGTGTGTGTGTGTGTGTGTTTGTAAGTGTTTCAGTGTGTGTATGTGTGTACATGTGTGTGTGTAAGTGTGTGAAAGTGTGTGTGTGTAAGTGTGTAAGTGTGTGTGTGTGTGTGTATATGTGTGTGTAAGTGTGTGAAAGTGTGTGTGTGTGTATGTGTGTGTAAGTGTGTGTATATGTGTGTATATGTGTGTGTGTGTGTGTGTAAGTGTGTGTATGTGTGTGTGTGTATGTGTGTGTAAGTGTGTGTATGTGTGTGTGAGTGTGTGTATGTGTGTGTGAGTGTGTATGTGTGTGTAAGTGTGTGTATATGTGTGTATATGTGTGTGTGTGTGTGAAAGTGTGTGTAAGTGTGTACGTGTGTGTGTGTGTGTGTGTGAAAGTGTGTGTGTACATGTGTGTGTGTGTGTAAGTGTGTGTATGTGTGTGTGTGTGTATGTGTGTGTAAGTGTGTGTATGTGTGTGTGAGTGTGTGTATGTGTGTGTGAGTGTGTATGTGTGTGTAAGTGTGTGTATATGTGTGTATATGTGTGTGTGTGTGTGTGTGTGTGTACATTAAGCTTTCAGACACGTTTTGTGTTGTATATAAGCTTCCAGTGCACATATCCATTCAAATATACACACATAATGTTTTTTTACTTGGTCTAAATGTGAAAAGTGTTCATCAGTATAAACAAGGATACGTTAAAAAACCAAATTGATAGCAATTGATAATTGACAGAGACTCTATTAAAAATATGTAAATATAAATGTAACATAAAAAAATCAAGTTCTAAATATTAATGCTGCAAAAAATGATCTCATGCAAATCACACCTGGTGTCATTGTAAAAGATGTTGCCATTGGTTGAGAAGGTTTCCCACAACAAGTAGCAATCATGTTGAAGGTGTAGGAGCTTCCTAAAGTCCTCATGGACAAAATTATTAAACAGCACTCAAATAAAAGCTGCTGAGCCTCAGCAAAGACCTTAAACATCTCTGTGAGGACAGCTGGTTCAATGATATGCAAGTGGAAAGTTCATGGAACCACAGCTAATCTTGTCTGGACCGGTGTGCTGTGCAGGATTTCATAATGAGCTCTCAGACTAATGGTACGGATGGTGAGAGAGAAGAAAAGAGTTCGGAAAGAGTTTTAAGCCTTTTGACCTGAAAGCAGCAGAAACGACAGTTACACAGAGCAACAATAAGCAGTGAACTGCACCACAGTCATCTTTGCTCTTAAACTGCTGAAAAACACTCACCCGTCTAAAAGTTGCATACAAACGTTTAGACAAATGAGAACTCTAGTGGAACAATGTACCGTGTCAGATGAAACAAAATTAGAAAGCTTTAGCAGAAGTTCATCTCGATATTTTTGAAAAAAGAAAAGTTGTGCATATGATCCCAGGAGCACCATCCCGACAGTGAAGTATGGAGGTGGGAGTATCATGATACACGGCTGCCTTTCTGCAAACAGTACTGGGCCTTACACTTCATCGATGGATACATGAAGCAATATACATAGTTTAACAGGATAACGACCCCAAAATAACTTAAGACTGGTTTCTAAAAAGGTAAAAGTGCTTGCAGTGTGTAGTCAATCTCCTGATTTGAATCCCTTTAAGAAATTATGGAGATATTTTAAATTAGCTTTCAGTGGGATCCTCTGGGGAACTGAAGATGGC